GGCAAGATAAAGAGTGGAGAGAAAACTGAAAAATAATGGCCCCAATAAAGTGTGACAATGTAGGATTTAGACTCACTGAAATCTTATTCACTGACTTTAAAATCTCAGAGTCAACTCAATTCCATGAAACAGACAACAGTTCTAGCAGCAGAAAGGGGAGGGAAATTTGAGAAAGAGGTGGCGCAAGGACACAATGTCAAGGTCCAGCTTCAACTGCCACCTACCCTGTAAGTAGGTTGTAACATGTCCAAACAGGTTGGTTTTTTAAATATATATAGACATTCTTAAGGAAGGCCCTAGATAGACAGAAACAATGGTAGCTGCAGAATAAGGAAAACTGTGTATAACTTTTCAGAGTTGCTGTTGAACTCCTATCAGAAATCAGACTTGGGAATGGGTAATATTTGTTGGAATAGATAAGGTGAAGCTATCAAATTGAGCAGAATGGTTCATGTGGACTTGACTGGTACTTCAATAACCATAGAAACCTCTTTGCCTTCCAGAATGAAGCTTAATATCACGCCAGCAGCAAATGTAAGTTGTTAACTGATTGTCACAAAAGCAAATAGAATGTAAGAACATAAGAATAGGAGCAGGAGAAGGCCATCTGACCCATCGAGCCTAAGATCATGGCTGAAAGCAGAAATGTAAAAGTAAAAAATTACTGCTTACCCCAATATTCAAGCAATATTTGGACATTATATGACACTTTTTTTTCTCTCACTGCAGAGGGAATAGTAGTTGGTAGCAATCATATAAAGTATTTTATACCCTGTCATGCTATGAAGCCTCTCAGAGTCCTGGCTCCCTTGTGCCTACCCTTACTACCATCTATCCTGTGAATCCTGCCAGCTTGTGATTGTAAGATCTGGAGACTGAAGCAAACAAGTAACAAATGTGCATTCCCCCTATGAAAAAAGACAATCAGTGTCAGGGAAAGGCAGGCCACAAGGGAACAAAATGCATAAATCTTTACTTTAATTCACCATGAAGGGGAAGCACTAGCAATTACACGACTAAACTTTCTTTAAAACGCATCAAGCCAGAAATAAATACAACTATTGCTTGATGATGGGCAAAACATTGCAGGCCCATTACATCCCAATATCACAAATGCAGAAACTGCCATTTATACTCTCTCCCAAACTGGGAATTCTTAGGTCAGTTCTGAGGCTAATAGAGAGAGGAGCCTCAGTAGACTTGATGCTGTTTGGGCTTAAACAGTAGTGGAGCTGAAAAATAGAACCATCAGCAAGTGCAGAGTAAAAACAAATCCTGGGGAAGGAGCATGAATAAAAGAAAGAGAAATGCTCTCTGAGAGTGTTTAAAAGTACATTACTGTGGTATTTAACAAACAATAATACAAGAATCAGGACGAAATATACAAAAACAAAAACAGGAGTGACATCTTAAACGGTTGGATTGACATTGTTTAAAAAAAACTCATTAGGAGGATAGAAAACAAACAGGAGCGCTATATTTTAAGAAAAAGCAGTAAAAACAGGAGTTCATAATAAACCACTGCATCACATTACAAACAGAAACATGAGGAATCATGTATTTATATAAGTGGCAGCAGCTGGACTAATAAAAGCATAAGTATCATGAGAAGTTCTTAAAAAGTGCCAGCACCAGGAGGTGAAGTTGAAAAAGAACTATAATAATGTGAATAAAACTTTCAAAATAGGGTAAAGACACAAATACCAGGAACATGACTTACTACAAAACAAAACACATGCAACCAGTGGTTGTAGGAAAATCAGAAACAGCAGGGGCACTCAAAAAGAAAAACTAACATTAGGAGCAAGATCAAATAAAAAAGGAATCACACTTTGACTTAAAAAATGCGAGCAACAGTATAAGACAAAAACGTGGTGTGGGGCTTGTGTGGAACGGCACGCTATGAAGTAGTGTGGATGATAAGAAGTGTTAAGATGTAGATATACAACAAATTGAAGTTAATCTTAGGAGGGGACCTGACATATACTTGAATAGAGGTGACCCAGCACAGGTTTCTTCTTCAGTACCACTTCAGAATATGACATTGACATTTTTGTACCACTCCTTCTCACCCTGTAAACTAACTCGCCCATTCTACTGTGTCGGATACCTTCCTTTTTGCTTGTCACACCTAGTTTGTGGCTCCTGCCTTCGACTTTTCTTTTTACACACTCCTCTCCCTCTGACTCATTATCTATTATTGCTTCACATCAATTATCTCTCTTAGATACAGTGACTACTGCTAATGCCGAGCACACATGGTTATTTCTATGCAAAATCTTTGCAAAACTTTCTCACCCCTATATCATGAACTAAATCTCAGTCCGTGCTCCCTCATTCCTATATTAACGCACCTTAGGCACTAAAACTCTGCATACACTTTTGTCCTCAAGCTTCATCCTTTCACCCTGCACTGACTCAATATTTCTTGTTCTGTTTTGTCCACTTGCTCCCTGCTGGCTGTGACGGCTACTATCCTCTCTTAGTGGCATACTTCTAGTCCTTTCTGTGGCTATCATTCCTACCATGAACTATTTCTACTTCCCCCATCTTATGTATGCAACTGCTCTCTGCTTTCTCTCTATTCCACCTCCTTGGCTGTTCTTCTCTCGGGCTTTATCCATCCTCTTTTAACTCACCTCATCATGCCCTTAGCTACATTGTTGCCACACATTAGTTCCTCTCTCATTCTCCATCAGTTCTGTTTCCCTACATCTCCCTCTCAATGCCTCGTCTTCAAAAGCCAATTGCCTGTTCATTAGATTCTGTCCACCCAACCCAAAGTTACTCTCCACACCCTACATCCCACTTTCCTACCCCTATCATGTTTCTGGGTGACACATAATCATTTTTCTCTGCCTTTGTTTTCCTTATTCATTCATAGGATGAAGGTGTCGGTGGCCAGGCAGCATTTATTGCCCAGAGGGCAGTTAAGAGTCAACCACATTGCTGTGGATCTGGAGTTTCTCATCTATTCTCCAGTCCTCCATATCTTGGCATCCTTCAATCTTCCATTCTATTGATATTCCAGGCTCAATTTTCCCATTTTTTGGCTAAATGTCAATTTTAGAGAGTTTCGTGGAAAGTTTCTCTGCGTGGGCCATGCAATTTTTCTGCTGCTCACCTTGTTAATTATGCATCCAGCCTCTCCAGTGCCCTCCTCATTGAGTCATGCAGTGGCAGAGGTGGAATGTTCACTGCTGTTGGGACCTTGCATTTTGATGCCATGGGAATCATATTTAAACCATAGCTAAGCATTAGTTCAAACACTTCAAAACCAGGAACTGCCATTCAAAGCCACTGCTTAACCACACATATAAAGGTGATAGCTGACAAAGGAAAGTTGGTACTCCAGTTCATTGACAGCGATGAAGCCAATCTATCAGATGCTGTCCACAGGCACTGAAGGTAAACACCCAATGCAGTTTCCATAGTCAGAAGGAATGCCCACTAATGTAATAAAGAGGTCAAAGACCTTCTGTGCTCTACAGATGGAAGTGCCACTACCTTTTCTCTGCTACCTTGAACAACTCTGCCATTGTGCACATCTCCCTCAAGGTTGATGTCTACCATTCTCACTGTTGCATTTAACATCTCCTCTCAATGGCTCTCACTTACATCATCCTCCTAAACTACTAGGTCTTCCAACCCTCTGCATTTCCTATTGACTCATTCAGGTTAGCTCATTCCCTATCCTACTCCTCCATCACTACTAACGGTTCTTCTAACTCATTCAATCTCTCTTTATTTTTCATTGCAGAAGAAACTGACTTATAACAAAGGTAACATTTTCAGAGGACCATTTGGCTGCTCTCTCATTAGAGAGAGACAACTGGTAGTGAGTTTAACTTTGCATATGTGACAGTGCAGGACATCATCCATGGACACACACTTCTCTAGTGCAATGGTACATTCAAACTATTTGTCTTCGACTTAATGATGAGTGATCAAAACTTCATTAACATCCACCTTCTGCCTAACAGTACACCAGTTTCTGGTGGAGAAAAGATGTTTTAAGTGACCACATTGTCAATTTGTAGTGAAGTCTGTTAGAGCATTGCATGCTCGTTTAGCAGTCTATGTGAGTTCACAGATCCTGAAGACTGAACCGTGAGGGATGGGTGAGAAGGGTCTTCTCAGGATGCCTCTCAGACTGATAATGGTGATGGCACAGGTCTCAAGTTCCTGACCATGAAGGAAGCCTCAGAAGCCAACTTTCCACAGTGCCAATCAATGCTGGAACCCTGTTTGAATGAGTGCTAATCTTCCCCTAATGACCAACAGAATGTTATCATTCTTGAAGTGGAAGCAGCAGATGTTGTTAAGAGTTGGGTTACACAACAGGAAAGGTGACTGCAGAATGAACAGAGAAGGTGCATTTGATTTTGTGACTAAACAGGACTGCTTGTTTCTTCAGCAACATAAAATCGTGATTCAATGAATGGTGTCTTCATCCAACACAGATATCTTGGAAGCAGGTATCAGTTAAGCTCTTTATGCCTTGTTGCCCTCAATGCTGCATTGCTCTATCATGCTGAAAGTGACATTCCTCCCAGTCAATGTTGTCATCTTACTTCCTGGAAGATTCCTGCCACTCTCCCAGTTCACCAGCATCCATAGCATCTTTTCTTTGCCTGTTCAAGTTGCATGGAGTACAGCATGCCAGAATTACATAGTGTACTCTGTCCAGAGTGAGCTGCAAGGCCCCACCCATACTGGACTAACTGCACGCCAAATCTTGGATTATTGGGACACAAATTGCACCAAATACCTGGCTGACCATGGCCAAACCCCTGGACTGAGATCAGACAATGCCTTGACTAAGTGTGGTGGCCCCTCCTGTCTGAGCATAGTCCTCTTTCACTCAATTAAAAACTACTCCCCTCAGACGTGCAAACATGATATCTGGTTGAAGCACTTGCAGTGTGTTTGTGCTGATAACTGCTGGCACATGCTGTACAGTGCAATGCTATGACATATCCACTCCCTTGACTGCTCAGTGCTGGCAACCACGACAAGCTGCCTGGCTTTCTGTTTGCCCTAAGAAGTGAGCCAAAGCAGAGATACTGTGAGCTTCTAAGTTCTGAATGAAGTAGCAATGCATTAAAAGGCTAGGCAAGCCAAGAGATGTTGTGCATGTCCAAGTAAGTGCAAAGTGAGTGAGTGCTAAGAAAACAAGCTAAGAAACTGAGATGAATCCTGTGCTGATGAATGAGATGTGGATAAGTGACCTGGCAGAGGCATTGCAATGTGGACTGTTGGTGAGTTGCAATGTGCAGTAGTGAAGTGCTGAAGTGAATTCAAAGATAGTTCAATGAACGCTTTCTAATTTTCCTTGAAAAGCATAGTAGTCAATGCATGGATAATACAGGACAGGATTATTTCAACAATGACTTCAGAAGTCATATGATAATGCAGCTGACATAGCAGAAGAGTTATACTAAAGTAAAATAAGACTGCTATATACATTTTACATGCTGGACATGTACTGAAACTTGCTCTCTAGGTTCATTACTGCCTAGATACAATACTTTTTGTTGCTGCTGTGCAAAAAATATGCACATTCATTCTCTGCCTTTACAAAACACTGGACAGCATTCTGGGTCCTGATTTCACTGTACCAAAACATCTCTCTGATACAAAAGCTACTCCAGCTATAGCTGAGAGTTATGATTAAATTATTGATGCCCTTACTCACCTTCAAAATGATGGTAGATTTTTAGATTTAGATTTAGGTTTTAATGTCACATGTACTCAAGTATGGGGTACAAGAGTACAGCGAAAAGTGTACAATGCCACCAGACATGGTGCCACCTTAAGTACAAAGTACCTAGGTACAAAAACTTAGTTACAGATGCAGAAAAATCAAGAAATAAGTTAAAAAGTTCAGCACTACAGTTGTCATTGTGTAAAAACGGACAATAAAGAAAGAAAGTTAAAAAGTCAAACATTACAGTCCTTTCTTCAGCCATGGGCCTGCAGACGCTCTAAGCTGGGTTTTCCACAAAAGAACTTGCTCTCCTCTGTACTGGGCATGTATCCCTGTATTTGCCAGATGCCCTCGCTGCCAGTCCTGACCTCCATTGAGCACGCCAGGCCTTGCTGCTGCTTGCTGCTGACCACCAATGCGGTCGTCCTTCGCCGCTGGCCAACATTATTGGCATCCAGGCCGCTGCTGGGCCCCAACCACTGCCACGCTCCATTGCCGCATTACCTGTCTCGCTCCAGAGTCCCAATCCTGCACCACACTGGACATCGATGAAGCCACGATGCCACCAACTGTAATCACCCTCCTTCTGGCCAATTGTCAAAGACACCAGCTGCCACCATTGCCTCAAGTTCCAAAGAATCAAAAGAAAAAAAGAGAAAAACAAGAAAAGAAGAAAAAAGAAAACGGGTTGGAGCAGACAACTTCTGGTGAGAAACCCTACCCTGCTGCCATCTTGAAAAATGATAATAATGAGAAAAGTGATGCAAGAAGAGAAGCTGGAATTTATGCAGGACAAAACGAGGGAAACTGTGTTTGTTTTCATTTTAGAACTTTTAAATCATTTGTTAGATCAGGCCCACAAAACCAGCAAAGACCAGCAGGATGCACAGCTTATTACATGTGCAAAGCACTGTCCCAATTCTTTAAAGAAATCAGAGAAAGTTTTGACGAGATTGAACACAAAGTGAAAATAAATCTGCCAGATGTAGTTGAAAAGTGTGTAAATAAATGAAAAAGAATGAGAAAAAAATGCCAACGATAGTGATGTACCTAATGCTGGATAAATGCTTGCTCCAAGAGACAAATTTTTGAGGGAAACCCTTTGTATGATGGATTCACTTGAAACCAACTTAAAGAGGAAACACATAGGAAAATGTTGCAAATGTTTGTTTTGGCTGATTTAGATATCTTGGAGAAACAGCTATACTGAGAGGTAAAGTTTCTGATAAGATTAATCTGATGAAGATTTTGTGAACCTTGTTGGTGATAAAAAGCATTTCCATGTTTATATCAAGGAAATTTATTCAGATAAAGGATGTTTATACCACCAGAGCCTGAGTCTAGTCATTATCCAAGATAAGATACAATTGGCTTTCCATAAAGTAGAAACAATCTTGTGGCTTTTTTGTCAGTTAACAGTAGTATACTGCTCACAGGAAAGGAACCTCACATGTATTGCTTCAAAGGTCTTTCTATCAGTTTTTAGGAGGTTTTCACATTCTCTACGCTGCTTTGAATTTGCCCTTAATGAAGTGTATGTCTGGTCCCCTCCTGAATAAATGTTCTCCCAATTTGGTTATGCACCCTGAGGTTATGGGAGATGTTTGACATGTCCAAGAATGATCTGGGAATATCCCTGAAGTATTTCACTTGCTTTGAGTGACCGGCACCATTATGCTGGCCTTGTTGGCTGAGGTGACAATTTTGTTGTTGAACAGCCCTTCCTTTGACTGGCATCAAAGACAAAGATCTTTCAAAGACACTGCTAGTGGTGTTTTCAGATGCTTGCTACAATTTATTCAAATTATTGGTTTTAGAGTGGCCTTTCTGGCTCACCTCCTGCAACAAAACAGACATATGGCCCTAGCATTAGTACAAAGATTGGAGAATCAGACTCATGAAGGGAACCATACCCTATAGTTTTCACCCCAATGAGTCCTTACTAGGAATACTGCAGTGAGTAACTCACCTCCTGACTCCCCAAAGCTCGTCCACCATCTACAAGGCACAAGTCAGGAGTGTGATGGAATATTCCCCACGTGCCTGGATGAGCGCAGCCGCAACAGCTCTCAAGAAGCTTGACACCATCCAGGACAAAACTGCCCACTTGATTGGCACCACAACCATAAGCATCCACTCCCTCCACGACCGATGCTCAGCAGCAGCAGTGTGTACTATCTACAAGATGCACTGCAGAAATTCACCAAAGATCCTCAGGCAGCACCTTCCAAACCCACGACCACTTCCATCTAGAAGGACAAGGGCAACAGGTATATGTGAACACCGTTAGCTTCAAGGTCCCCTCCAAGCCACGCACCAGCCTTACTTAGAAATATATTGTTGTTCCTTAAATGTCCCTGAGTCAAAATCGTGGAATTCTCTCCCTAATGGCATTTTGGGTCATCCCACAGCAGGTGGACTGCAGCAGTTCAAGAAGGCAGCTCACCATCACCCTCTCAAGGGCAACTAGGGATGGGCAATAAATATTGGCCAGTCAGCAACACTGACATCCCACAAATGAATAAATAAAAATAACTTGTTAATTTGGAAATTCTTCATTCTTTTGCTTGAGGGTGGTTCCCTTGGGTGTAACCAAATGTCCAATGTCACATTCACTTTAGAATTGTACCAGCCTGATATGGGAATGTGACAGCCAGAAATTACATAATGAAGCAGCAAAAAACATGAAACTACACAGCTGATGGAAAGTAATAATGTGTAATGATGACACAAGACAAGGTAAAACAGTGTGAAATGAAAATTGAAGATGCAAATCAGGAACATTAGCCCTAAATTGGTGTGACTTTCAAGTAGAATAGCTTAAAGTAGGGCAAGGTATAAAGGAGAATTACTATATCTTAATCTTCCATTGCTATTTGCGATTATTGAACAGTTCTGCAAGGCAGATGTTATTATGACGCAGCTCATAGATATTGTGATCTTACCTTGTACTCTATAAAGCAAAGTCCTTTCAATGTAATAAATAGTAAGTGCACTCATTATGGTGGGAGTTCGTGGTGTTCTAGGCATGTGATTTGGTCAAGAGATGAGCAAATCTTAAAAGGTTGATGGTCATTCTTCGAGCTGTTGTACCACTGTAGAGGATGAATGACTAGAATAAAGAGTTAACTTGTGTAAGGGCTGCAATGGAACCAGACTGTGAACAAATTTCTTGTGAAAAATTAAACAGAAATGTAGAAAGGACTGTAAACCAGTAATAGAAACAATGGGTCTGGGTGGAAATAATAGTAAACAACAGATAAGGAAAGGAAAGAATAAAATCAAAGTCTAGACTATAAAATGTGATCAAGTTAATGCAATTACTGTAATAAACAACAAGAATGTTTGTACTCATTGAAAATTAAGTAGATGTTGAAATATATGAGCATATTATGTTTCTAACATAGCAATTTACATGCCATCAGGAGCAAAAACTGGGACAGTAACACAGAGAGACTGGGGATGTATACTAAACAGTAGCTTAAGGAGATGGAGGTGAAATTTGCTTAGAGACAAGCCATACAGTCATAAATCTTTAAGAGATCTACAACACAGAAAAAGACCCTTCAGCCCATCACATTGACCTTGATCAAAAACAACCACCTGACTATTCTAATTTCCATGTACTTTGGTTGCCATGGTGACATGCCAAAACTTCTTGTAAGAAGAAACTAGTTGAAAGCTCTGGGCCCAAAGGAAAAGGGAGCTTCTCTGGCAGTCCAAAAATCCTTAGGCTCTCAGAATCAGTTAGGGTGTTTCTGGGCAAAAGGACTTCAGCTTGGGGCTGATATGTGAATTAGGGAAAAAGAGCTGTTTCCCAGTTAAACAGAGCATTGTTGAGGAAGAGTCCCCTGTTTGAACAAACAAAGCTCATGGAGAGTTAAACACCAAAGAATCAACAATAATTTCATTTGCTCCCAGAGGTACATTCAGTTGCACTTTACAAAGTGAGCAAAAGGGACTTTATTTTAAAAGGAGGCCTTTGAGACACAAAACAAAACAGAATCTCTGAGCAGAAACTGACAGCCAAGTTCCATGCCTATGAAGACAGCCTCAATCGTGATATTGGTTTCATGGTGCGTTACATGCATCCCCACCGTACTGTTCTGTATCTGTAAAATCTTCCTTACTGTTCTGTTTTGACACCATCACCTTAATAACTCATGATGATCTCTTTGTTTTAATTATTCAGTACAGTTTTGGATTACTTGTTATTTTGGTTGGACCCTGTTGGACTATAACCTGGTGTCATGTGATATCTGACTTTGTCCACCCAAGTCCAACACCGGCACCTCCACATCATGGTTGAACTCCTGGCATGTGACTCATACCTATCACGTTATTCCAGCCATTTGATTTGCCTCCAGCACCATCTTATTTTTAATTTTTTTGTAATTATCTCTCTGCTTCAATTAACCGAATTATAGGTCATCCCATCACTTGTCATTCAGCTGTTGACACTTTACTCACACCGTCTGGCAATTTTGATCACCTGCAATGACTTGTTATTCAGCCTGTCAATACTCCACTCACAGCATTTATACTATCTTTCAGTCTGTCTGCCCATAGATTATGTGCCTGTGTGCTTCCCTTCACTTCACCTGACGAAAGAGCAACTCTCCAAAAGCTTGTGATTTCAAATAAACCTGTTGGACTATAACTTGGTGTCGTGTGACTTCTGACCTTGTCCACCCCTTTCCAACATCAGCACCTCCACGTTGTCAATCCTGGAAAAGCTCAGCAGGTCTGGCAGCACCTGTGAAGGAAAAAACAGAGTTAACGTTTCAGGTCCAGTGACCCTTCCTCAGAACCTCAGAGTTCTGAGGAAGGGTCACCGGACCCGAAACGTTAACTCTGTTTTTTCCTCCACAATGCTGTCGGACCTGCTGAGTTTTTCCAGCAACTTCTGTTTTTGATCCTGATTTACAGCATCTGCAGTTTTTTCAGTTTTTATTGTCAATCCTGTGCTGGCTCCAACAAGCTCCAACAGGGAACTGCCATGAGCAACCAGATCTTGCACTCTCCATGTCTGTGGGCTATGTGAATGGACCTGCACTCCATTGCTCTAGCCACAGGTGCTCAGCCTCAACGGCAAGGCAAGAGGAGAGACAAGGGTTCTCTAACTCTCGTGCACTTCGTCTTATGGATGTTCAGTTTTATGTATTTTCAAGGGAGTGCACTGCAATTCAAGGCTGAGAGACGTACATGTGTCATCATTAGATTTCATTTCCAGGTTTATTAACGGAGTTCAAATTCAATCAGCTGCTGTGGTGGGATTTGAACCCATATTCCCAGAGCATTAGCTTGGGTCCTTGAGTTAATAGTCCTGTGACATTGCCACTGAGTCATGAACTCCTCCAAATTCAATTGACTCACATGTGAAAAACGCAAATAAGCAATTCAGTTGATAAAATGGTATTATTTTACACACCTGTGACATGGGATATACTCTATACATCAATGTGATATGCTCTTATACGCAGTATATGTTCACTGTACAAGTAGCCATAAGACTGTAGAAGTCAACTTCCATTACAGTAACATGTTTAAACTGCATAAGGGAGTAACAGATGCCACTGAGCCAAGGAAGGCATCTATAGAAGACACACATTTATAACACTTGGGGTTTGAGATTGAGAGAATGCATTTTAATTTTGGGTATTTCAGATCCGTATCAAGTCAGTCTATTTTGTTACACTACTGCCCATTCCATTCATCCAGCTTCCCAGCTCCTTCTCTTACCTTTTCCCAGGACAAGTTTACTCTGTTCACTTCTCACTCAGTTGGCCTCCAGCATTAGTAGTCCTTGAGGGAAGAAAAACATTGCTGTTTCTTTATGACTGCCAAGTAATAACCACAGATTGGCCAAGGGTTTTATATTTTTTTGCATATCCTGGGAGTGATAAAATGCACTCATTTAAATTTTTCTGCCATTTTTAAACAACTGTAAATTATGCTTATTTAAATCACTTAATCTTGTAATCTTCAAATAGTGTATGATGTAATTCTAAACTGTTCACCTTATTATTGTAATATTGCAATGATTCTAAAAGTTCAAAATTACAGTGAAATTTGTCAAAGAAACAAAAAAATTACCTGGGATAGCATTGGTCATCTGCTGAATTTACAGCAACCAATTGGGCGAACACTGAAGACATTTCTGGTGCTGAAGCTGGTATATAGGAATATAAATGCTTTAAAATTTGATTGTTTGATAGTAGAAATTAATAAATTTCAAGTAACACTCAGAATTTCATGCCATGATGTTGTGTTATGTTACAGTACTTCCAATCGTGTGGAAACATCTGAAAGATTTTACTGGAAAGCAGAAGAATAGATAGTGAACAGGAGACCAAGATGGAAGAGAGATGAAGGTGACTAAAGCTTTTACAAAAAAAATAGTTCTGGCACGTGATTAAAATCTGGGACACAGTAATCCAAGCAATGTTGCTGCACAAGACACACTTGAAGGGTCAAGCCTCATGGTTGGAAAAGTAAACACCAATGGCAGAGCGAAAGGAGGGCAAAATGTGACAAGTCAAAGTCAGAGAAATGAAAAGTGTATACAAGAAGGTGTATTTGGAAGAGATCACTGAATTTGTCTTGAACAAAAATAGAAGTTGCTGGAAAAGCTCAGAAGGTCTAGCAGCATCTGTGAAGAAAAATCAGAATTAATGTTTCGGGGTCTGGTAAACCTTCCTCAGAATTTGTCTGTCCTGGTTTAAGACACATCTTCAAACATATCAATTTGACTAACATTTCATTATTGGCACTTTGGCTGACCAGCAAACTCTCCAACTCTTTGTGCTTGCCATCACACAGATTGTAATCAACATATCTGGGTATGTAATGATCACCCCTTCTGTGACCATCACCTGCTGATGTGGGACTTGAAACCAGAGGTAGCCAGGCAACAACAACACCACATGACCTCCACTGTATTTCTTACAGGTTTTTAAACTGATTTCATGAGAAAAAATGCTCTTTTGAACCCAACAAAAGAATATTTTAGTTCAATATTTGTTGGCATAGTTGTGGCTATAAGTATTATTTAAAACCTTGACTTTGATTGCATTTATGCAGATAGAGTCATAGAGTCATACAGCATGGAAACAGATGCTTCAGGCCAACTCATCTATGCTGACCAGATATCCTAAATTAACCTAGTCCCATTTGGCCCATATCCCTCTAAACCTTGAACAAAAACAAATTTGCTGGAAAAGCTCAGCAAGCCTGGCAGCATCTGTGAAGGAAAAAACAGAGTTAGCATTTCGGGTCCGTTGACCCTTCCTCAGAACCAAACTCAGAGTTGGTGATGGTTACTGAATCTTTTTAAAGCAGAGTTTTTCTGTTGAGGGGGTGGGGGGAGAAACAAAAAAAAACAATTCCAGGGAGCTCTTTTCTATTTATATACATATATATCAATTACACATGATATAAAGAGGTTTCTAAAGAAACTTAAGTTCTTTAAGAATGAGATAAGACCAAATGGACTGTGAGAGAAGACATATTACATATTATCACATAGTCTGCTGTTACACACAACCCATTTGTTGCCACTTACAGTCCCCATTAATAGTTATTCAGCTTCCTACCTAGATCCTTATCCAATCCTTTGTCTAACTGTTCTTCACCCTCTTTGGGCTGTATGCCTACCCATCATTTACTCTTAGCCCCTCCCCCACCGTATCTTCTGCAATATAAACCAACATTTTCCTAGTTACCATCAGTTCTGACAAAGGGTCATTCGACCCAAAACATTAACTCTGATTTCTCTCCACAGATGCTGCATGTCCTGCTGAACATTTCCAGCAATTTCTGTTTTTGTGTGACAAAAGACTGCAGGCCTCTTGTTTTCTCCCAATGTAACCATGTACCTTTCTTCTTCACAACTGCTACAGCTTCATCATACAATGCATTGTTGCTGCCTTTACAATAAATCAAAATATTCCCCTAAAAATTGTATGCAGCCAGAAGATAGTCATTGATAATGGTGAGGCCAATTACTAAGGTCATCCTCTGAAGCCCTTCACTACCTATTATGTAGTTCCATTTTCCATCATAGTTTCTCACCCTTGAACAAACATTACTGAAAGAAATACAATATTTTGATCACGGAAACTTGCCATTGTTCAAGCATTTGCTAAGGAATGCTGTTTCTTACATCACCAAAATCTATTCCTTCTGATACTGTTCTTTTTCTTTGGATCTCATCTTTAATCTTTTATGCAGTGTTTGGTGTTTAATTGCTTTCATTCCTATGTTAATATTCAGCTTTCCTGTAGAATATCAGTTGGTATGATTCTCACAACAAATATGTTCACATAAATTAAATGATGAAGAGCTACTTGTGGTTCAGCGGTTGTTACCCTACCTCTGGGGTGGAAGGTCTGGGTTCAAGTCCTTCCTGCCCCGGACATTGATTACAAAATACTTAAAACCGAATCATAATGATGATTAATCCCTCAAAGTGAGGACAATACTTATCATGGAGTACAGCAAAAACCTAGACAAGTGCACACAACCAAAAGTGTGCCACCATACTGGGGTGGCACAATGGCTCAGTAGTTAACTCTGCTGCCTCACAGCACCTGGGACCTGGATTCTATTCCAGCCTCGGGTGACTGTCTGTGTGGAGTTTGCACATTCTCCCTGTGTCTGCGTGGGTTTCCTTCAGGTGCTCCCACAGTCCAAAGGTGCAGGTAAGGTGGATTGGCTTTGCTAAATTGCCCATTGTGTCCAGGAATGTGCAGGCTAGGTGGGTTAGTCATGAGAAATGCAGGGTTACAGGGATGGGGTGGATCTGGGTGGGGTTCTCTTTAGAGGGTCAGTGTGGAATCAATAGGCCAAATGGCCTACTTCCATGTGTAAGGATTCTATGCTTTACTGGATGAATCTGCCTTGAATTCCAGGGGAACCTGTTGGAATTACATAAAGTGATGAATGAAATAGTTAGGGCAATAAACAAATGCAGCATAGTAATATGAGGAGGAGAAAGCAGAAGCCCTGTTGACAAAGCTAGCAGAAAGCACATCATCCAAGAGTGTTTCACAACAACTAGTTACTCCCATCTCCAATCAACCAAATCACCACAATCTTTTTCTGCAATGCTTACTTCTTTTCGGCTAAACTAAATTAATACAAATATAAGTACCAATGATAAAGCCAGAATAAAAGATAATCCAATTACTATGTTCCATCTATTGTTATCCTAATGATGACAGACATTGCACTTTCGAAAACAACGTCACTTTTCTGCGATTGTGCTTCAGCACTCCCAGAGATTTGTTTAGAAATAGACCACAGCTGTTTTGTGAGGCTATTCAAATGTCTGTCAACAAATACCCACACCAGGTCCAAAGCCACACCAGTTTCAGTTAAAGTGTATGTTGCCAGAGAAGCAGAGGTGGGCATTACTGTTATGCCTACGGTCCTGACCACCGAGCCCTTAGTGAGCAGATCAGACCAGGCTCTGCACAAAGTATCAATACCTCTTTGAACTGGCAGACTGCCCAGTGCAACGTTTCTGTTTCTGAAGAAGGGTCCCGAACCGAAACGTCAGCTTTCCTGCTCCTCTGATGCTGCCTGGCCTGCTGTGTTCCTCCAGCTCCACATTTTATTATCTTATTTCTGTTACTGTCTTTTTCAGTGCTCTGGGCCCTTGAAAGCAGTATCTGAGTCCTTTACACCAGAGTTTATATAGGAACCAGAATAGGCCATTCAGCTCTTCAAGCTTTATCTGCCTTGAAATTAGATTAGGGTTGATCTGTATCTCATCTCCATTTGCCTGCCTTTGTTCCAACTCCCTCAATAACCTTGCCTAGGACAAATCCATCAAGGTCAGAGTTAATATCTTGGTGGAATAGAACTTGAGTATTGATGAGTAAAGAGGCATGCTTTTTTTTTGCTGTTGAAGCTTTTAGTTTTATGTGCACTAGGACACCATATAAATGCCAAATTTTGAACAGAACAACAAGTTAGACTGCATAGTAAAAAGGTGCTGAGCTGTTGGTAAGTCTATTCTAATTTGTTAAGCCACCTCATCATGGCCATCACTCTATCCTTGTTGTGAGGGTCTGCATATTTCTTCATGTGGCAAGGAGGCTTGCAGCTGGGCTTGGCCTCCTTCCCTTTTATGCTTCTGTTCCATGGGCCTTTCCCTGCAGGAAAGAAGAGAGTGTGTTTGGACTAGTTTTGTGAGGTGCTTTGGAACAGTGTTCTAAACTGGCAACATGACCAATGTTTAGCAGAGGTAGAGTTGGCTGCATGCCTAAAACACAACAAGGAGTGTGTAGTTCCAATTTTGCCTGGTCCCTGGGACCATATAAATGTGCATGTTCAGCACACTCCCTGCATGTTCATTGTTTAATTCTTAGGCAGCAATGTTTTCCCTGATATTGAAACACGTTACATATTATGCACATTTGCAGTTTCCGCTACTAACCAAGATTATAGATATATACAGGATTCCAGATATTGGGTGTCATTTCTAAGATGAAGCACGTTCAGAAATTCAGTGTGCATCTGACTTCAATCACATTTTATGAATATCACCAAACACCTTGAATATGCTTCATGATTTTTATTCAAATTAAAATTGAAAGCTTTGTATAAGTTTTACTGTCAGGAATCCAAGAAAATTAACAAAGAGCCTGAATGCACCAAAAACACATGTAGACAACCTCAATGGAAATAAAACCTGGAGAAATGTAATTAATGTTATCCACTGACACTTTACCACCCATTTCATATTATTACACAAATTTGAGTCAACAACACTGCAAGAGCAAGTCAACCATAACTTTATTCATTGGAGTGAGTAAGCAATTTATTGATTTTTTTTCATATCTAAAAGGAATGACAACATATAATTTTATCTCCTACATTTGATAGTTTTTTTTATATTAAGAATGGTTTGGACATAAGTTAATTCTATTAAGGGCTAAGCTGCCATTTGGAAAAGATGAAAAGAGCTAGTATTCTGACTTGGCACAAATAGAGAGATCTGATAGCAAAGACTGAATGGAGTTACTGATTTACAAAATCTTCTCTGGGTCATCTCGTCAAAGGCAGGCTTAAAGATGTTTTAGAGCACTTTTCCTAGGGAAATGGCACTGTGGCAGGTGTTAAAAGTTCTGTTTCAAACCATTTTACAAAATAAAGTTTTTTTATATATGGAAAGCAAGGGAGGAGCAAAATGTGAGCTTAAAGACTGAGAAAACATGAGGAAAGGCAATTTATTGGAATCTGTCATAATGGCCCTCTTATTTACAATATGCATAAATAATCAGAGTTTTGGATTTAGAAATAAAAAACAATTTTGGAATATGAGCAGTTCTAGCAAGACCAATGCTTATTGCCAATTATCGATTGGCCTGAAATACAACAGTGAGTGATTTGATATAACTAAGTGACTCACAAGGTGACTAGACCATATCTAAGAATCAACCATGCTAAGATGAGAATTAAATATAGAACAAACAAAGTATGGAACACATGATTCCTTGTGTAAAGAACTTAAATAGATAGTTGTTTTAGAGTCATAGGGTCATAGAGTCATAGCGCATGTAAACAGGCCCTTCAGTCCAACTAGTCCACACCGACCATGTTCCCAAACTAAACTTATCCAAATCTTATCTAAATGTCTTTTAAACACTGTAACTGTACCTACATCCATCACTTCCTCTAGCAGTTCATTCCACACACAAACCACCCTCTGTGTGAAAAAGTTACCCCTCATGTTATTTTTAAAACCTTCTCCTCTCACCTTAGAAATATGCCCGCTAGTTTTGAACTCCCGCACTCTAGGGAAAAGACCCTTGCTATTCACCTTATCTACGCCCCTCATAATTTTATGAACTTCTATAGTGTCACCTCTCAATCTCCAATGTTCCAGTGAAAAAAGTCCCAGCCTATCCAGCCTGTTTTTATAACTCAAACTCTCCAGTCCCAGTAACATCCTGGTAAACCTCTTCTGAACCCACTCCAATTTAATAATATCATTCCTTTAGCAGGGCAACCAGAACTGCACACAATACTCCAGAAGAGGCCTCACCAACATCCTGTACAACCTCAACATGGTGTCCCAACTCCTATACTCAAAAAGCCTGAGCAAAGAAGGAAAGTGTGCTAACCACCATCTTAACCATCCTGTCTCATTTCATATGAACCCCTCAGTCTCTCTGTTCCACAACACTACCCAGGACCCTACCATTAATTGTATGAATCCTGACCTTATTTATTTTACCAAAATGCAATATCTCACGCTTACCCACATTAAACTCCATCTGCCATTCTTCAGCTCATTGACCCAATTGATCAGGATCCCTTTATAATCTTGGATAACTTACTTTACGATCCACTGTACCACTAATTTTGGTGTCATCCACAAACTTATGAACCATCCTCCTATTTTCTCATCCAAATTGTTTATATAAATGACAAACAAAAGTGGACCCACTACCAATCCTTATGGAACACCACTGGTCACAAGCCACCAGCCCAAAAAACAATCCTTCACCATCACCCTCTGTCTCCTACCATCAAGCCAATTTGTGTATCCAATTGATAAGCTCATCCTGAATCCCATGTTATCTAACTTTACCAATTAGTTCACCGTAGGGAGCTTTTCAAAAGCTTTACTAAAGTCCAAGTAAACAATGTCTACCTCTCTGCTTTCATCAGTCTTTTTGGTTACCTCCTCAAAAAGCTCAAACAGGTTTGTGAGGCACAACATTCCCATGAATAAAACCATGCTGACTATCCCTAATCAGTCCTTGCCTCTCCGAATGCATGTAAATCCTATCTTTCAGAATCACCTCCAACAGCTTACCCACTACCAATGTCAGGCTCACAGGTCTATAATCCCCAAGCTTACATTCTTTCTTAAGTAAATTTTATATAAATTTTATAATTTTCCTTTATAAATTTTACGGATATTATAAAACAGAATTTAAATTCTCAGGCTGTCATGATGGGACTTCAAAACACATTATTTGCTTGCACAACTGCACATAATTTAGACCAAACCCTAAATTCTTAACCCAGTAACATAATTACTATACTTCCATATCCCTACAATTGCAGGGACAAGGCTGTAATTTGTTCATGAGATCAGAGTTTGAGATGGGTTAGTCAGGGTAACTGTACGAGGGATTCTAACAAAAAGAAACTGAAGAAAAGAAATGATTAGCAGGAATGGCCAATAGATGAAGGATAAAGTTCTGCATGAGTTAAGTAATATATTCTGGAAACAAAAATAATGAAGTAAAAGTATGACGCATGGTAACATTTTAAAGGTAGAGCAGGAGGGTAAGACTTTGTCACACAGGTCATGAGATGTAATATAACCAAGATGAGAGGAGCACTCTATTTGTCTCTAGTCCTCTTAGTCTATGTGTCATAACATAAATTTGCTTTACCCCATGTCAATATAACCAATCATATGCTTTCTCCACATTAGACTTAGAATTTTTTTTAAAAATCCTTCAATTGAATTTCTTTAATAAACACAAAATTACTAATTATTATAAAATAAAACTTATTCCATGAAGATGCAAAATCCAATTAACAGAGATTTTAATATGAAAATATAAATGATTACCCCTTTAAATAACCACACAGACACACACTTACACACACACACACACGCATGCACACACATGCACACGCACACACACACACGCGCACACACACACACACACACACACACATGCACACACACACACACACACAGCAGACAAAGTGAAACAATGATTCCTCTCTCTGCAGAGATTCACATTTGGCCAATGGATCTTAGTTCTTGATGGCACTAAGGATAATGTTTGACACATTTGGATGGGTTGTTGGTCTGATGTTCTGGCACACAAAGTCTGATGTCATTGAGCACATGCAGTTGTTGTTAGGGATATTTGCCTACACCATCATTTTGGAATGATCAATTATCTTTTTCAGATATTTCTCATGTGACAGCAACACAACCAGAGCTCCAGGCACCACACTTGACCAAGAACTCAGCAACTTTTCCTGAAGCAGGAAAGCTATACTGGAAGAGACAGTAAGAACTGCCGATGCTGGAGTCAGAGATAACACAGTGTGGAGTTGGAGGAACACAGCAGGCCAGGCAGCATCAGCGGAGCAGGAAAGCTGATGCTTTGGATTTTCTGGAGAAGGGTCCCAACCCGAAACGTTTGCTTTCCTGCTCCATTGATGCTGCCTGGCCTGCTGTGTTCCTCCAGCTCCACACTGTGTTATATGTAAGCTATACTGGAAAGCTCTTTTCTTTCAACAAATCAATTGTTAACTATTTCAAACATTGTCCAAAGCAGACATTGCAATCTGACGGTCACAAATCTCCCGTAATTAAGCACATGTAATTGTTGCACATGTAAGTACCAAGAAACATATTGTTAAAACTGTTTCAATGTGCTTTCATTGACCTTTTTTTAAGAAAACTAATCCAGATATTCATAATCTTTCAAATCGAAGTCAAAACCTATTAGATGTGAAACTTTCATTACTCCTCTACTAGTGGAAAACAACTACCATATTCAATGTATTTCCTGGCAAAGTGTGGATTAAAAAATAAAGATATTAAAAATAAGACACACTCAGCAGCCAACCTGAACGAGTATGTCACCACCTTCACAGACTTCTTCAGTAAGTGTGTAGAAGACTGTGTGCCGAAGAAGTTAATCCAAGTCTGAGGAAAGGTCACTGAACCTGAAACGTTAGCTCTGATTTTTTTCTTCGCAGATGCTGCCAGACCTGCTGAGCTTTTCCAGCAACTTCTGTTTTTGCTCCTGATTTACAGCATCCGCAGTTCTTTCGGTTTTTATTAAGTTAATCCAAGTATTCCCCAACTGGAAATCATGGATGAACAAGGAGACCCACTGCCTACTCAAGTCCAGGTCTGAGGCATACAAGTCAGGCAATCCCGACCTACATTGATATTCTCTTTAGGGACTGAGTAAAATTACTTGAATGTAGAGCCTTGTCATATGCAATTACATTAACCATGCATCCACTGATTCACAAATGCTACCAAAGCGGCATCAAATTGCAGTTCACCGGTAGGTCACTGTTGTCCAAGAATGAACATTACAAATTATAACCGCAAGCACTCAAAGCCTTGTATTTATCATATTAATTGCTTCCCTGTCATATTAGCTAAGCAAATATAATCAGACAACAATTTCAAAGTATTGACGTGGTTTGGCATTTCCAAAACAAGTTCCATACCTTTCAATGGAAGACAACATTTAAGAGTCGTCACATTTGCACATTGAATTTTAAGTAAGCAAGGGCATGTCAATCGTGTGTAATGGTGCCTTTATTTTGGGGTGTATGACACTGTCTTATCACAATGGCTGACTGCCAGAATTCCACTTTCCAAACAAACCATGAAAACTTTGATTGTGCAGCGTACATTTAGATTTTAGTTAGGAAGCTCCTGACAACGCATGATGTGGAGGTGTCGGTGCTGGACTGGGGTGGACAAAGTCGGAAGTCACACGACACTTGGTTATAGTCCAACAGGTTTATTTGAAATTGCAAGCTTTCAGAGTGCATAGAACATAGAACATAGAACATTACAGCACAGTACAGGCCCTTCGGCCCTCGATGTTGCGCCGACCTGTGAAACCAATCTGAAGCTCATCTAACCTAAACTATTCCATTATCATCCATATGTTTATCCAATGACCATTTAAATGCCCTTAAAGTGGGCGAGTCTACTATTTTTGCAGGCAGGGCATTCCACGCCCTTACTACTCTCTGAGTAAAGAACCTACCTCTGACATCTGTCCTATATCTATCACCCCTCAATTTAAAGCTATGTCCCCTCATGCTAGCCATCACCATCCGAGGAAAAAGGCTCCCACTGTCCACCCTATCTAATCATCTGATCATCTTGTATGTCTCTATCAAGTCACCTCTTAACCTTCTTCTCTCTAACGAAAACAGCCTCAAGTCCCTCAGCCTCTCCTCATAAGACCTTCCCTCCATACCAGGCAACATCCTGGTAAATCTCCTCTGCACCCTTTCCAATGCTTCCACATCCTTCCTATAATGCGGTGACCAGAACTGTACGCAATACTCCAAGTGCAGCCGCACCAGAGTTTTGTACAGCTGCAACATGACCTCATGGCTCCGAAACTCAATCTCTCTACCAATAAAACCTAACATACTGTACGCCTTCTTAACAACGCTATCAACCTGGGTGGCAACTTTCAGTGATCTATGCACATGGACACCGAGATCTTTCTGCTCATCCACACTACCAAGAATCTTACCATTAGCCCAGTACTCTGTATTCCTGTTACTCCTTCCAAAGTGAATCACCTCACACTTTTCCGCATTAAACTCCATTTGCCACCTCTCAGCCCAGCTCGGCAGCTTATCTATGTCCCTCTGTAACCTACAACATCCTTCCGCGCTATCCACAACTCCACCAACTTTGGTGTCATCCGCAAATTTACTAACCCATCCTTCTACGCCCTCATCCAGGTCATTTATAAAAATGACAAACAGCAGTGGCCCCAAAACAGATCCTTGAGGTACACCACTAGTAACTGAACTCCAGGATGAACATTTCCCATCAACCACCACCCTCTGTCTTCTTACAGCTAGCCAATTTCTGATCCAAACCGCTAAATCACCCTCAATCCCATGCCTCCGTATTTTCTGCAATAGCCTACCATGGGGAACCTTATCAAACGCTTTACTGAAATCCATATACACCACATCAACCGCTTTACCCTCATCCACCTGTTTGGTCACCTTCTCGAAGAACTCAATAAGGTTTGTGAGGCACGACCTACCCTTCACAAAACCGTGTTGACTATCCCTAATCAAATTATTCCTTTCTAGATGATTATAAATCCTATCTCTTATAATCCTTTCCAACACTTTACCCACAACCGAAGTAAGGCTCACTGGTCTATAATTACCAGGGTTGTCTCTACTCCCCTTCTTGAACAAGGGGACAACATTTGCTAGTCTCCAGTCTTCTGGCACTATTCCTCAAGACAATGACGACATAAAGATCAAAGTCAAAGGCTCTGCAATCTCCTCTCTAGCTTCCCAGAGAATCCTAGGATAAATCCCATCCAGCCCAGGGGACTTATCTATTTTCACACCTTCCAGAATTGCTAACACCTCCTCCTTATGAACCTCAATCCCGTCTAATCTAATAGACTGTATCTCAGTATTCTCCTCGACTACATTGTCTTTTTCCTGCGTGAATACTGACAAAAAATATTCATTTAGCACCTCTCCTATCTCTTCGGACTCCACGCACAACTTCCCACTACTGTCCTTGACCGGCCCCAATCTTACTCTAGTCATTCTTTTATTCCTGACATACCTATAGAAAGCTTTAGGGTTTTCCTTGATCCTACCTGCTAAAGACTTCTCATGTCCCCTCCTGGCTCTTCTTAGCTCTCTCTTTAGGTCCTTCCTGGCTAACTTGTAACTTTCAAGCGCCCTAACTGAGCCTTCACGCCTCATCTCTACATAAGCCTCCTTCTTCCTCTTGACAAGAGATTCAACTTCTTTAGTAAACCACGGTTCCCTCGCTCGACCACTTCCTCCCTGCCTGACAGGTATATACTTCTCAAGGACACGCAGTAGCTGTTCCTTGAACAAACTCCACATTTCAATTGTGCCCAGCCCCTGCAGTTTCCTTCTCCATCCTATGCATCCTAAATCTTGCCTCATCGCCTCATAATGTCCTTGTGAAGCTTAAGCCTAACCTGACACATCATTGTGATCGAGGTGAGAGTTCAGGAGTACCATCAGTGAAATGGTCTCGTTCTGACAGCCACCACAAATTATCTTCTCACGCATCTGACATAGACATGAGCAAGGCAGAAGTCATTGTGGGTAGCTTCAAATGTAGAGATAACCTTCAAGGAGAGAGCAATCACAACATTGTCAGCAAAAAGAACAACAGATTCCAGTGGCTGCTGCACAGCCTCCAGAGGAGGAAGCGACAAGTGATGAGGGGCGGCATGGTGTCTCTTTGGTTAGCACTGCTACCTCACAGCGCTCGGGACCCGGGTTCGATTCCACCCTTGGGTGACTGTACATTCTGCCCGTGTCTGCCTGAGTTTTCTCCGGGTGCTCCGGTTTCCTCCCACAGTCCAAAAATGTGCAGGCTAGGTGGATTGGCCATGGAAAATTGCCCATAGTATTGAGGGATGTGTAGATTAGGTGGGTTATAGGGGGAAGGGTCTAGGCGGGATGCTGTGAGAGTCAGTGTGGACTTGTTGGGCCGAAGGGCCTGTTTCCACACTGTAGGGATTCTGTATCCCTAGAAAGTAGAATGGATTGAGGTGATCCCGCATCTCTGGACCTCACTGTATTTTTCTTCAGCTATTGGAGAGCCAGTGCGGCTGCTGTTTCAGGATGTTCCAGGCCATCATCACTAAACTGTGTCATCTGCCAGAGCAGAACTTGAGATCAACAGATGGTCATTCCATCCCAGTGGCAATCAAAGTTACAGCTGCCCTGAATCTTTATGCCAGCAGCATGTTTCGAGGACTAGCTGCAGGACTGTGTGGCAAGTCCCAATCCTCAACTCACATGTTCACCTGGGATGTTATTCTCACCAGACCTCTCCATACCCTCCCCCGACAATGAGGAGAGTCAGTAGCCTGGCTAATGGCATTCCCCAACATTCAGGATCCATCCACATTGCAT